GGGACCTCTCTGACCAAAATTGAGTTTTTTGCATAATATATATCTATATTATAAGGATTACAATTGGTGAGAAAATCCGACCATATTTGTTTAGTAAAAAAATGAGTGATCAGGTAATAAAGGACTTTTTAAATTAATTTGTGTAAAATCTAAAAAGAGATCTACAACCCTATTTTTATTGTTGCACCAACAAATTTGATTTAAAGGTGTTTTAATACAGAGATATAGTTCATTTTTATCTAATCCTTTTAATTGGAATTGTCTTTCTAGAAAATCTTTAAGGCCAATTTTTTTAAAACATATTTTATCTTTCTTTTTACAACAACTACAGTTTGATTCATCTTCAAAAAATAACCTCAAATCTTGAACTGTATTAAGCACCAATTCATTTAGTTCTTATTCTTCTAATCCTAAATCATATAACTCATGTGGGAAAATTAAATTTTCAGATAATTCCATAGTATTTGGGTGATCTTCTAAATTTATGACATCATTATGAATTGATTCAAAATTTAAAGATATGGTTTAATTATATTTTTTTGATAAATAAGATTTAGATTTTTATTTCTGGTGTTTTGTATTAGATAATTTTTTTGAAATTTTACAAGAAATATTGCACTATTTATAAAAGTTCTACTGAATAAAATTAAATAGCTGGAATACCAAAATGAAAAATTTGGTCAAAATAAAAAAATTCGGCCATTTCACCAAAAATTTATTTTTAATTTACGATCCGTCTATGAATCAGTGAATACTATATAGTGATCGGTGGGGGAAAATTGACCAAAAAATCACTAATCGGTAACCTTTTGTAAAAAAAAGTTACTATACTTTTGTCTTGCAAGAAAAATTTTTTTTGTGTATATAAATAAAATAAATCTCAAAGAACATATTTATGTATTTTTTATTGCCATTAATTATGTAAAAAAAATTTTTTTCTTTGTATGATGTGTTGATTTTTTGAGTTTTGTTATTGAAAAAAATCTGATTTTTCTGTGTAACTTTTATTATTAGTTAGTTAGTTAGTTAGTGCAAGAAAGAAATTAGTTGGCATTGGTACTACGCTTCGTTATCCTTTTTTGTTTAGTGAGTTTTAGAAGCGATAATCATTCGCTGTTTTGAATCAAAAAAAACTCTTTTTGGTAAAAAAACCTCTTTTTGGAAAATCTGAGGTTCTACAATTTTCAACACATTTTTAATAGTGATGGTAAAGTAATTTCTTCTTTCTCTCTGCAGAGCTCAGCAAGATAGTAAGCGCTATGAGCAGCTAGTGAAAAATCACTGTTTTTCAAACCTAATTTTTTGGGAAGGAATTTTTTGTTTTTGTTGGGTATATAGTAAATTTCAAAAAAATTTTTTTTTATTTTTCTGAAATTGATATTGATACACTTGATGATCTATATGTTGAAATTGAAATTTGAATGCCTTGTCCACGTGATAAATGTTTTTTACCATTTATCATGCAAAATAATAAAATATTTTTTTCCAAGTGAACAGAAAGAGATTTGGTTTTAGTTAATGTGATAAAGATCACTATTAACTAATATGTTTTTAA